GAGGAGGCGGAGGCGGAGGAGGAGGACGAAGACGATGTCGAGGAATCCTCTCGAGGCTTTCTTGGGGCCTCCGTGGGTCTTCCTGGGGGTCTCTGCGCGGCCTCTAGGCTGCCTCTGGGGACCTCTTGGGCTGGATCAGAGCTCTCTTGACTGGGCTTGTGCTTTCGGAGGTCGCCTTGGTGGCCCCTCGGGGGGCGTCCTGGGCTCATCTTGGGGCGCCGTAGGGCCGTATTGGAGGTCTCTTGTGTTTTTTTCTGGGCCCGCTTGAGGCAATCTTAGGGGGCCTCTTGGGCTGTCGTTGGGCCCTCTTGGCCCATCTCTGGGCTCTCTTGGGGGCTTCTTGGGCGGGCTTGGGGATATCTTGGAGGCCAATGGGGCCATTTTGGGCCATCGGAAGCCCGAGAAGGCGAGAACGTGAACATGAGTGAACAGCTAGTGGGGGATCAGTGTTTTTAGCGTCTTCGGGCTCTCCTTGATAGCCTCTTGGAGCTATTTTGGGCCATCTTGAGGCCATCTTGGTCATATGGGATACTTCTCTGGGCCATCTTGGACTTGCTTGGAGAAGGATGAGGATGAGGATGAGGATGAGGATGAGGATGAGGATGATGATGATGATGATGATGATGATGATGATGATTATGCTGATGATGCTGATGCTGATGCTGATGTGATGGATGATGAGGTGCTGATGCTGATGATGCTGATGATTATGATGATGCCTGCTGCTGATGATGATGATGATGATGATGATGATGATGCGGATGATGTGATGTGATGTGACGATGATGCAGTGCCGGATGATGATCATGATGATGATGATGATGATGATGATGACGATGATGATGATGATGATGATGGCTGTGCTGATGATGATGATGATGATGATGCTGATGATGATGATGATGATGATGATGTGATGATATGATGATGATGTTGATGATGATGTGATGATGATGATGATGATTGATGGTGGTGTGGTGGTGGTGGTGGTGATGATGATGATGATGATTGATGGATGATGATGATGTGAGGAGGAGGAGGAGGAGGAGGAGGAGGAGGCGGAAGGGAGAGGAGGATGAGGAGGAGGAGAGGAGGGAGAGAGGAGGAGGAGGAGGAGGAGGGGCGGGAGGAGGAGGAGGAGGAGGAGGAGGATGAGGCGGGGGCAGGTGGAGGATGATCAGGAGGAGGAGGAACCGATTTTGGTAGGAGGACGGATGGGGATTCATAGTAAACGGGGGAAGGGGAGCAGGACTGGCAGGATAATGCTACGGCGGATGTGGTGTGTGTGTGTGGAGGAGGATAATGACAAGGCGGAGATTTACACTATACAGCAGCAGGAGAAGGATGGGGGAGGAGGAAGGGGAGGATGAGGATGCTTGGAGGTGGAGGGGTACCGCCCCGCTCGCCAGCGCACGTGGGAGAAGATCGAGTACGTGGGGTCGCTTGCGGCCCTCTGCGAGCTCGTGCAGCCGGGGGATCCGCCGCCAGCCCACCTCCCGACGCGCGCGCCCGTCTGGCCCTCCTCCTCCTCCTCCTCCTCCTCCTCCTCCTCCTCCTCCTCTTCCTCTCCCTCCTCTTCTGCCTCTGTTGTCTTTCCTCCCCGCCTGCTGCTCCTCCTCCTCCTCCTCCTCCTCCTCCTCCTCCTCCTCCTCCTCCTCCTCCTCTCCCCCTTCCGCCTTCACCTCCTGCCGGCGTCGTGCGAGAGCGCTCGGAGCCGCCTGGCCGAGCCTGGACATGTTGCAGCCAGCTTGGCACCCGTCGGAGCCACCGTCGGTCCCTTCGCTTCCCATGGGGCTCTCGGGTCCTGGGCGTCCTTAGGGTTATGATGCTCCAACCAACTTTGGCCTTGATCGCCAGGAAGAATTTTCGAGCGCCCAGAAGAGTACCGAAATTCAAGGGTTTTCACGTGTCGGGCCCTGGGAGACACTCGTCCGACACTGTTTCGACACTCTTTTGACACTTTTCGGGGTGCTCGATTTTTTTTTTTGGGATGTGGTCCTTAAGTAGGATGGGAACAACATAACCTTAGGGGAACGAAGAATGACATAACCATAAAAACTCGGAGGTCCGCAAGGATTTCTCGGATCGGCGCTGGACCCTCCTCCCTGGCGCGCGGAGCGCGATCGATGGGATCCCTAATGAAATCGATAGGACTGCTGATCCGAAACACACTACAGAGGCAGCTACGGTTAGGGGAACGAACAATGACACAAACATAAGAACTCGGAGGTCCGCGCGGATCTCTCGGAGCGGCGCTGGACCCCTTCCCTGGCGCGCCTCCGGCGCCAGGGGCGGCGCCGGAGGCGCCGCCAAGGGGGGTCCAGCGCGGATCCGAGAACTCCGCGCGGACCTCCGAGCTTGTATGGTTATGCCATTCTTCGTTCCCCTGTTCCTGGGTCTCCGTTCCCCAGTTTTCTGCTCCTGTTGCTCCTCGTTCCCCTGTTCATGATTATGCCACTCTTCGCTCCCCTGTTCCTGGGTCTCCTTGGGCCTGGACGCGTTCGTTGCCGCTGGGCGCCCGGGTGCGGTTCCTGGGCTCTCGGGCTCTCGGGCTCCCGGGCCCTCTGGAGTCGGGCCGTCCCCCAGCGGGGCCGGGGGCGCGCGCCCTCCGAGCTCTCCCTCCTCTGGGCCTCGGGTGGCGCTCGCTCCCGTCGGTGCCCGCTCTTGGTGGCAGCAGCCGTGCTCGGCACTGTGCGTGTGGCGCCGCTCTGGGAGCTTCTGGGCCGCCGCAGGCCCCAGCACGCAGGGGGGGGAGCAACCCACTCCATCTCCTCTACATTCTTCTTCTCCTCCTCCTCCTCCTCCTCCTCCTCCTCCTCCTCCTCCTCCTCCTCCTCCTCCTCTGACCGCCACCTCCACCCTCCCCTCTACCTCTTTTCCCGCCTCGTCGAACTCCACCTCCGCCTCCACCTGCACCGTCTCCTCCTGCTCCTGCTGCTGCTTCTGCTGCTTCTCATCTTTTTCTTGCCCCCCCCCTTTTCTCTCCTCTGAAGAGGAGGAGAGCGCAGTGGCAAGCTGGCCAGGACAGGTCCGTGTGCAAAGCACGTGCCGCATGGGAGCCCCCCCCCCACGCTGCTGCCTGGCAGCCCGGGCCACAGCGCGCCCCTGGAAGACCCTCGCGGTCTGAGGATGCCGCCTTCCTCCCTTACGTGGGGCCTGTCCCTCTACAGGAGGAATAGTCCCAAATAGTTAGAACATAGTCTCGGGACCGATTGTCGACTACCTCTGGACTATTTTTGTGTTTTGGACTATTTTTTCGTTTTTCCCAACCATCAGTGGTTGTGTCGGGTCCTCGTTTTGAAGAGACGGTGGCCCGCGTCCCTCCTTCCTTCCTTTCCTTCCTTCCTTCCCCTCCTTCCTTCCTTCTTCCTTCCTTCCTTCTTCCTTCCTTCCTTCTCCCCCTCCCCCTCCTCCCCCTCCTCGCCTCTGCTCTCGGCACACCTCTCACGCGTTTCGTAGCCCCATAGGGAGCTCCACCGAAGGCCCCAGTGGGGGTGTTCGCATGCGGTTCCCCCACCCAGGGCAGCGTTTCGTGGCCCCATAGGGAGCTCCACCGAAGGCCCCAGTGGGGGTGTCCGCATGCGGTTCCCCCACCCAGGGCATCGTTTCGTGGCCCCATAGGGAGCTCCACCGAAGGCCCCAGTGGGGGTGTCCGCATGCGGTTCCCCCACCCAGGGCAGCGTTTCGTGGCCCCATAGGGAGCTCCACCGTAAGCCCCAGTGGGGGTGCCCGCATGCGGTTCCCCCACCCAGGGCAGCGTTTCGTGGCCCCATAGGGAGCTCCACCGTAGGCTCCAGTGGGGGTGTCCGCATGCGGTTCCCCCACCCAGGGCAGCGTTTCGTGGCCCCATAGGGAACTCCACCGTAGGCCCCAGTGGGGTGTCCGCATGCGGTTCCTCTACCCAAAGGTAGCGCCACCGAAAACGATATTCATATTTGCGGTATTCACGGCTGCATATGGTTGGGTCCTTCGCCAGGCTAATTTGAACAGAATCCGCCTGTAGGGAGGCATGCCCGACCCAAACCTTCCCCCTCCCCACTTCCGTGGCCGCCCTGCGCTCCCCTTCTCCGCTTCTAGGGCGGTGCATTCGTCTGCCCAGCCTCGAGCCTATCCCTGTCGCTGAGATCGGCAAGCCCAAGGCGACGACAGTCGTAGGGGTGTGCCCCCAGAGGCGTAGGGAACTCTTACGATCGGCACCATGCCGAGTCAGGGGCCGGGACATGTCTCAAGCTGTTTGACTGTGAATCAATTTGCGTGCGAGCGAGTCTCGTGCATGAATGCGAGTATGACGAAGCAAGGTGTACTTGTATATGAATGTCAAAAGTTTGAGAATGACCGCCTCTGAATACTCGTGACGCTGGGCGTGGCCGCCGCAAGGAGCTTCCCCGGGACTCCCCGGCGGCATCGCCCGCGCGCCGCGACGCCAATGTCGGCGCGCCCCTTCGCTGTGCAGTGGCCCTGCACGGCCCGACCGACCTGCGCGGTCGCGCCGGGTCCGCGGCCCACGGGCGCGGCCAACGGATCGCTTCCCGCAGTGCTGGCTGGGGGGCGTGCCGTTCCTCTGCGCGCGGTGGGCATCGGCGCCACCCCGACCTGCTCATACCACATGTGCGTCGCCCCCCCAGGGGCGACGCGCGCACCGTGAAGTCTTGCAGTATATGCGTGGTGGCCGGCGCTTTCTGACCACGCCGCTCGGGAAACGATGCGCTACAATATGGATATGCCACATGTTCGGGTCGGACGCGCGCCTCCAAGGAGGACATCTAGTACTAGTATGTCTTTGTGCGTTCCATGACATGGTCGAAGCCACGTCCTTACAGGGCGTTCCAAAAGGGGCCTCGCCGTCGGAGTCGCCATCTCTTCCTAGGCGGAGGGCGGCCGAAGTTCGGCCGAGGGCGGCTCCGCTGGCGGATGGGCGGCGGGCGCCCGCGGAAACAGAAGTTGCAGGGATCGGGGCGTTTTCGTGGGCTCGCCTTGAGTTCGATCCCGTTTCGGGCACTTCAGGGGCTTCGATCGGACAAAGTTCGATTGCGCCGACGCTCGAGTTGTTCAGGCTTCGGTCGACAGCGTTACTAGCCCGGCACTGGGCCTCCAGAGCTGCGGACGAGAGGGGGCAGTGGCTTGTGTGTGTGTGTGTGTGTGTGGAAGCAAAAGTCGGCTTCCGAAGAGGCGACACGGTTTTTGGGTTCAGGGTTTCCAGGACCCGCCATGTGCACTGTGTCGGTTGACGTTTGGGCCAAACACGGAGCCTGCCCGCGGAAAGCGACGAGCCTGCAGAAGAGCGAAGGCGCGGTCTTCGTAGAGGCTGGCCGCCTCGTACCGTGTGCCATGCCGCACGGAGGTGTCTCTTCGCGCAGACGCCCAGTTCTTCTGCCAGGTCGACGGCGGCCACAGCCCAGAAGCCAGGGTCACCGTGAGTGGAACGAACAATGACATAAACATACGAACTCGGAGGTCCGCGCGGAGTTCTCGGATCCGCGCTGGACCCCCCTTGGCGGCGCCTCCGGCGCCGCCCCTGGCGCGCTCCGCGCGCCAGGGAGGGGGGTCCAGCGCCGCTCCGAGAAATCCGCGCGGACCTCCGAGTTCTGATGTTTGCGTCATTGTTCGTTCCCCTAGCCGTAGCTGCCTCTGTAGTGTGTTTCGGATCAGCTATCCCATCGATTTCATTAGGAATCCCATAAATTCCCCAAGGAGTCTTCTGGATGTCCTCAGGAATCCTGTGCATTTCCTAGGGAACCCTGTGGATATCCGACGGGCGGCGGCTTCCGTCGGGTCGCGTGGGGGGGTATCGACGGGCGGCTTCCGTCGGGTCGCGTGGGGGGGTATCGCTTTTGGTGCATTGGGGGCAGCGCGCGTTGGGGGGTCGCAGCGGGCTGTCTGCCGGGATGGCACGGGGGGGGGGTGCTGATTATGACATCCGGAGCGTGGATGTCCTCCGGATTTCGATGGGTTTCCGCAGGTCGTTCCCCTGCTCGCAGCTGCCTCGGTAGCGTGTTTCGGATCAGCAATCCCATCGATTTCCCAAGGAGTCTCATGGATGTCCTCAGGAACCCTGTGCATTTCCCAGGGAACCCTGTGGATGTCCGAAGGGATTCTGTGGATGTCCTGCGGATGTCGATGGATTTCCGCAGGCCGTTCCCCTGCTCGCAGCTTGTTGCTTTCGCTCTCCGGTCTCTCCGGGTTTTGGACACTACCAAGTTTTGACAAGTGCTGTTGGTTTGCACTTAGAAGGAAAATCTCGACGGACCTTTTGCTGACTTTTGGTGGCAGCCCGCCGCCCTTCGGGGCTGCCCCCGGACTGGCCGCGGGCAGCGGCGGCCGGGCGGCCGAGGCCCGGGGGCCACCTGCTCCGCCTCTTCCAGGCTGCCTCCATCACTCCTCTCGCCTCTGCCAGGACTGACGCACAGGCCGTCCCTGATGTTGAGTCGGGCCCGTCCCTCTACAGGGGGAATCATCAAACATAGTTAAGACATAGTC